AGCTAAAGTGAGAAAGCGAAACATTCCCTGCATAGGGTTGTGCGCTGGGTTTGGGACCCGCCACGTAAACAAACCACCCCAATGAAAACGCAACAACAGCCTCGGCTCTACGCCAATCAAGAAGAAGAAGAATGATACGTTAAGTTCAAGGATTATGTACTAGTCAAAAGTAACCCATAAGTAACTTGTAAACAAAATTCGAGAGCTTCGAGAGATATTTGATTATCAATAGTTTTTCAGAAAATATCACGAATTACGACAAAAAGAAGAAGGAGATGAGATTATGGCGAAACCTAACTCTCTCTTTATACCCCCTCGAAATTCGAAATGTATGTGGGCTGCACTTCAGATGTTTTAATAAGAACCTTTATGCAGCACTCTTGCTAAAAGGTTTTTCTCCTAAACGCATTTGCTTTTCGTTTCACTTACTAAGCTGCACATATTTTTTTACCATTCAAAATGTTGCCGCAAAAGATTTTCCAATTCTTTTTTACTAGAAAAAAGGCGTGCAAATTTTTTACATTTTCCTTTTGCATTATGCTTCTTCCAAGATACGCCCTCAACAAAAATAGCTGTGCCTAGGCGCTCACGCACAAGGGTTTGCCCACTACTCGGTTTTTGCATTTTCATTTTGCCAAATTTATTTTTACTTTCCTTCATAATGTAATTACTTTAATTTCCTGCATTTGCATTTACCTTTAAGAGTAGAAAACTCAATTGATAATCTTCTAATAACGGCGGAAGCATAACGAACGCTCACTTTCAAAGTAAAATGGATTGCAAAAAATTAGTAAAAAATTCACTAAGCCAGCAAAAATTGATTTATGCATATATGTGTGTATGTATGTGTGTTTTTATGCATGTATATGTGTTTGTTTGAACGTTTGTGTATGTGAGTGAATGAAATATGCCAAACCTAAGGTAAACATTCGTTTAACTGATGAAAGCAGGAAATTGTATTGCAACAAAACTGAAGCATCACCTGTCCAAGCGCAACGAATACAACAACAACACTGCATAGGATAGCAATAAATGCTGGTATAACCCTATATATGTATGTAGATAAATGTAAAGTGATTCGCCAGTGCAAATATCTGAGGAGCATAAAATATTTCCAACAACAAGCACATTAGTACACTAACCTCGTATACCCAGATGCATACATACATATGTGTGCTATTTGTTTGCCTCAGCACTTTTGTAATGCAATACTAAATACTTGTATGTGTGTACAGAGTTATATATGTATGTGCTGTGTTATTGATTTCACGTCAATTTGCATAATGCTCACTTTGTTTGCACAACGGCAGCAAACAGCTTACTCAGTTGTTGCACAAATTGCTTGTTGATGTAAAAGTATAACCAAATTACATATTTATATGCATATATGTATATATACATAGATGTATGTATATACATTACAAGATATATTTGTATAATAGAAATGTTGTTCTCCTCTATGCAAGCATTTAAGGTTACTCATACGCCTTGTAACCCATTTATGAGCGCACTGCAAGTGCTTATGAATTATAAATTTGCTAACCCACTTGCGCCAATCTTTTTATTCCTCCATTTCATTCACACAGTCTCCAATGCATGCTGTATGCATTTAGTTTTGTACACTGTTATTTGCAAAAATACAAAATTTCTTGTTCGTATGCTGACCAGCTTGTAAGAGCAGATGAAGTTGGCAGTCAAAAGTCATGCTGGAATCTTGAATAGCAATATTTAAGTAAATATTTTTAAAGTTATGCCAATGTAATGGTATTGGTATGCAAATTGAAAATATTTTTGCATAACCACTTAAATATATTTGTTTGCTTAATATACCTATGGTTTAGGTATATGCAAATGATAGAATAATAATATGTATGTATATAAACATTTGGAAGTCAAAAACGGCGAGACTGGGGGGTTAAGCAAACATTCGCTTTTATGTGTTCTAAAATTTATTTTGTATGTGAACTCACGTAATGCTATACAAAATATTCTAAAGTGCTTTACTTCCAGTCTGAAAATATGTACGTTGAGTAATTGATTATAGGCAATTTTACTAAAAAAAAAACTGAGTCATAAAAAAATATTTTTAGAATATCAAATATTTGTTGCATAGAGCTGTGAGCATAACTGTTAACCCTCTTATGATATATTTTTGAGCAGCTGTGACAATTTATTTTCCTAACGAAAAAATTTTTAAATAAAAGAAAAACGGTTTGGGATAACAATGAAATTCTTTATACCAATGATAGCACATTCGATGCCATTATGTACGGTAGCTCGATTTTTTTATTTTTATTTTTGCGAGGCCACCAAGGATACGTTTGCAGAAGTCCAGAAGGTGTACCCAATTTTCGACTGTTTCCAAGCACAAATCCACCGATACTAATCTAATAGTCTAACGATATCATATCGCACGGCCGAAACGTTTAATTGTATGCGCCATTTTGTGAGGTGGCATGTTCACTTTCCTTGATTTTCAATAAATAGATAGATCGTGACATTCGCTGTGTGGCTTGTGGCGCCATCTTCTGTCAAGATTCGTATCATCCAATTTGGGCCAAAAATATTCGGTTATCATTGAGCGGTAGCGATTCCCTTTCACAGTAACGTGTCGGTGATCATCACGGAAGAAATATGGCCCAATGACGCCGCCGGCCTATATACCGCAATTTTTTCGAGATGCAATGGTGACTAATGAAATACGTGTGGATTTCTGCCTGACCAATAACGCATATTTCGTTTATTGACGAAGCCATTCAGTCAGAAATGTGCCACACCGCTGAAGATGATATTTCAATGGAAATCCGGTCATTTTCAGGTTATTTCTCAGCCCAACTCACGATCATACGACGATTCTGTTGGACAAGCGGCTTCAGTTCTTGCGTCAATTCGATCTTTTAAGAATGTGGGCCACAACGAAGTCACAGAGATGGCCAACGCTTCAAAACGACTTGTGAGAGATTGATTTGGGTGTCCTTCAATCGATCCGCTAGCGGCAGCAATATTCTTGACACTGCGGACACTTTTAATCTCAGTGGCACGCTGATTCAAATTTTTCCACTAGACACTCAATTGTTGATCTGACATAATGATTATGACGACCATTAATTGGACGTAGCACTCTTAAAGTTGAGGCCACTGACTACGAATTTCTCTAGTAAATTTTAATAAATTCGACTCGTTGTTGGGTCGTATATCTTTCTGTGATAAAATGGCCTATCTTACTGAAGGAAAATGTCAAAATCGTCTACAGGATAAAAAAAATCTAAATTTTTATAAAATTAGTTGCCGATTACTAAAGTACGTTAAGTTTTGTGTACGTAAATTATTTTTATTTATTTATTAGCAAAACACAACTTCAAAAAACACGCGACATTTTATAGTCACAACGCTTCTTCGCTTAACACGATACATCTTCTAGTGTATCATACCTGTCTACATAGATGTTGACTCTGGCATTGCCTACAGGTGCATTAGAAGCCAATCTGCGACTTTCACAATAGCTAAGACCTTAGCTTCAAATATACT